ACAGACAAAGGTTTGGCCGGCGCCATGGCCGTATGTGTGAGCCACTACTACAGACCGTGCCTGTGCTGGAGCGAGTGCTGGGGCGTCCTGGCGCAAACAGCCGCTACCACATCCGCAACGCCACAGTCACTGTGGGGTACACCTGTGCCTTTGAGTCAGCCTAAGTGGTGGTAGTAGTAGTAGTAGTACCCTCCAACCATGACCCACTGTTGACCCCAGATGTTTTTGTTGTTGTTGTTGGGGTTTTTTTTGCAAAGTGTTTTACGGTGCTCGCAACTGTATAAGGTCATTTGAGCGCGCGAGACACATTAAACATTTTCAGTTGGTAGAACATTTTGAATTCTGCCCGGGTGGCGGCTAAAAACTCTTCTCGATTTTAGACCACCAAAGGGATCTTTAACGTGCGCAACTTGCACACGGAACCTCCGAGATTGTTCACCCTTATCCGAGAAGGCTAGGTGTAGATCTTTCCTTCTAGAAAATCAGGGGCGTGGCTGGCAGACAGCAGTAAGAAGGAGCCAAGGAGTAGCAGTAGAAAGGCTGCAGAGAGAGTCAGGAACCCAGAGGAGGGGGCAAAGGAGTTGAGGGGATGGGGGCAGAAAGTGGAGACGAAAGCAGACGACAGAACATTGCAAGAGAGCAAGAAAGGAGGTGAAAGGAGATCATTCTAGACAAGAAAATTTTTCCATCGCTACCCGGATTCGAACTCGGGACCTTGAATGAGAGGCGAATGCCTTAACCTCTTGGGCACGAGAGCCCCGACCCAAGATGCACGTTGCAGTGTCATTTATTTCGAAATGGGGGGAAGGGGGGCAGTACTTTACTTTTACCGAAATGACCAACAACAACAATGAGGTTTAAAAATCAACACTGCCGTCCAAGTCTGTAGTAAACATGTTATTTATCATTCTGATGATTGTCTATATTCGATGATTAATTGTAATTATTTATTGAATTATTATTACATAACAATGTGATATCAATAATCTTTAATTATACCGTAATTGTCAAATCTTACTGCCACTGCCAGCATTGATTATGTAATGTTGTACATGTCTTTCTCATCCATAATTATATGATTTTTATTTCGAATCAAAGTGAAAAAGTTTGTACCGGTATGCGAAATTCGTTAAGGTTTAACGTCCCTTGCAACACTGTAAGGATATTTAAGATTAAGAGGCGGGACCTCCGAATTTAACTTAACATGCTTCTCCGAAAGGATTAAGCCAAATGGAAAGATTTGTCTTTAGTGCCTTTCAATAGAACACATTAGTGTCCGACTGGGCTGAAACTCGAACCTTTGCACTCACAATCTCACGACAACGGGTTGAACAATCAAAGTTATAGAAAGTAAACCCCGCCGTCCAAGCATAAGGAGATAAAAAGACACCATGATCTACACTATGATATTTATTATGATTTATTATGATGTTTGTATACATTCATTGATCACAGTAACAGAATGGTTTATTGAATAGATCGTGTATGTATAATACTTATACACTGCATAATCATTTTTTACATCTTTTCATTTACCACTAACAGCGCCGATTTTGTACACAGTCATGTTTTAGCTCTTTGTCATAATGTTTTCGAATCAAACTGAACTGAGAAAAAGCCAACACTGCCGTCCATGTGTTTTCCTAGTACATGTATATTATATCATAAACATTACACACTCTCATAAATTGTTACTATTTTTCAGTAATTCATTTTGTTATTGTACCCGAAACTTATTTCTCTCCAAAGTCCTTCAACAATTGTTGTATTTCATGAAAATACATTAATAAATATTGAGTTCAACACCATGTGTGCATATTTATACGTACATGCATATAATAATACACAATGCATTTTGATTGAAAAGGTCTGTGATACAATTTCTGTTTGTATCCATCCGTATTTCAAGGTGTGTGTGTGCGTGTGTGTGCGTGTGTGTGTGTGCGTGCGTGCGTGTGTGTGTGAGTAACTTATTAAGAGTATGATTGCTTGGTTGTCCTAAAGTCTTTAACATTGTGGTTTGAAAACCAACTTATCAATGATCGACGCATAAATCTAGTCCTTAATTAGGACTCAACCTAAGTTAGTATCAGCACTGTTTTAAAAATCAAAATTGATTATTTTTAAAGTTTCCATTTAAATTGGAGGAGTTTTGTCAATTAATTGTTTGAATGGATTGAACTTTATCCATTTTTATATGGATAGAAGTAAATGTACATCATTTGTTAATGCTGTTTTACATTATTTCTTGGACATCAGCAAATAAATAGAACCATTGCAGCTACGTACTTTGTTCTCAAGATCTTTTAATTGGTTCTGGGTTCAATGTTCAATGTTTGAGCTTGTTTTGCAAATATGTATCTCAATAGTTTGAATAATGGACCATGTGTTCCTGAGATGTCCCGCCAGCTATCATGTTAGAACCCGTCTGCTGGGACATTTCAGTAACCCACTTTCAGCACTTTTTAAGGACCCCCGGGCGAGTGTTGAGTTCCTGCGTGCTGTCGGCATCGCTGACCGTTTATGAAGCCACAGCGCCAGAAGAGAGAGAGAGAGAAAGAATAATTTGAATAAGCGTACTTTACCTCTCATACCAGTAAACTGTGTGAACCCCAGAAAAAAATTTTTTAAAAGAAAAACAAAAACAAAATGATCTCCTCCCAAATTAATCATATATATTTTTTTAACCAAATAAAATAAAATATAATTGACGATTTGTGGCTTTGTTCAACAATGTCTTGAAAAATAATGCGGTGGGTCCCTTAAACTTTTCAGAAACAAAATTTTAATGATCATACAAACAATGAGCACAAAGTCTATATTTTCTATAGAATAAACAAATTCTGATCGATGAGTTATCAAGAGTAAATTTATTCAGTAGCATCATAAAGAAGATAAGGCTCAACATTTAGAATCATTTGACATAGCATGGAACAAATGGACAATAAATAAGCATTCTCCACACATTCGCAGCACCCCTGATTGTGACTACTCTCTAGTTTTAAAAAAATAACCTTACAAAATCATTACCAGACTGTCTCATTGCTGGATAATAGGAGCAAACAGAAATACATTTCTTTCAATGAGTTGTTTAAGTGACAGCACACTTACAGATGGATATCACAATGTCCCAATCTACGCTTACTTAGTTACAGGTCACACACACACACACACAAAACAACCCACTAAATGCATGGGAAAACAAACAGTGGGCAGAATTTTTGATATGGTAGAGCAATTAGTCCATACTTACATCTAAATATTTTATTGAACCTTAAAGCTTATATATAAATCCCAACTACACACAGAATAAGGAATCTTCATGCCAAAACAAAATTACTGCTTTCATAGCGAGAGTGAAAAAAAACAACAACAACCCAACCTTCCAGACCCTCTGCTGCTGTTTTTATGAGTCTTTTCAAGAGTACAACCTCGGTAGAATAAACTTCCTAAACCAAAGAAGCCCTACTTATCACAGTTAATACAAATCTTGCATCCTACGACAAAACACCACCCATAGGTTGCTGTTTTGACAACCCTAACTAACAATCTTTTAGGTACAAGTAGTTTACATATTCGTCTTTTATTCTGCAGGGCAACGGACAGTATAAAAGCAACACAACAAAAAACAACAATGAAACAAAGCACCAACCCAACTTAACACTCATCACGCATGATAAAAGAATGATAGAGAATGTGCTGAATTACAATGACATCATACTTAATAGTCCACTGGTTCTTATCACACAGTCAATCAATGATGCTGAACAGTTGGAGTTTACAGTGAGTCCATACAATAAACAGCCACCATTTACTAACAGCCAATCAAAATACTGAATTAGCCCCACTGATGCTATGAGTGTCGATCTACACCAATGGGTCACTGTTGAGAAAAACTACAGGTGTTCAGCTACTCAAGTTCTTATTGGAGAAAGACTTTTAAAAGACACTTTGCTAAAATTTGTTTTAGTTGAGGTTTGACGGCGCTCGCAACTGCATAAGTTGCTAACATTGACATGGGAACATTATAAAACAACTTTCAATGAAAATCCCATTTTTGTATTCCGCAAAAATTGTTAAGTCTGGTTATCCGTCAGCAAAACTGACCTGGTACTCTTTCCTCTTTGTATGATGACAAACCCTTCCTACCACATTCCAAATACAACTCCACTACCAGTGATCTCATCATTAGCGCCACAAGGGTTAATACTAACACAGACATACTGAAAAAATCCTATTTAGTAACACAGAAGATATAAAGTTGCAAGCCAAATAAAACATCTCCTCCTGCACGCACACGCACAAGCTGCCAACAATCATTCATTCATTCAATCAATCAATCATTTATTCATTCATGCAGCTCCACACAAACACTGGAAATGTGCCAGGTTGATCGACCTCTGAGTCCCACACAGCAGTAGCCCTGCTCCCCTCAGTAACCAGGGGCTGACAGGCTCTTGTCCATGAACTTCCTCTTGGCGAAACACAGCCACCACTGAAGAGGGGGAAAAAAAGAAAAAACATCCAGTAACATTGCTGAGAATCTATTTTTTTTAAAAGCCAGACACGGTCCACAGGGCAGGTCAGGGTGGTGAGCATTGAATAAGTAACCTGTATCCTAATCCTTCACACACTTTTCAGCATTCAATTAATTCAAGTTATTCAAATTAGACCTACAGCAAAAGATCTCTCCAGTTTACTTGTGGGCTTCGTTCTCATTTCAGTATTTGCAAATCTGGTCTTGAAAGTTCATAATTCTTCTTCAGCATCAGTGACTCCGTGGAAAGCAATACAAGACAACAGAGAATATGTTAACAAACTTCAGTACTCAGATCTTCAAAAACGTATTAAATACTATTTTAACGTACTGGTTTGATGCTGTACATTTATCTGACTAAGACAGGGAGGGTGCAAGTTTAAATCCTCCATGGTACTGGTAGGTCCATTCACTGTAGGTAAAATGTTTGCCCTACTTCTACATAAAATTCTGACACTGCATGTCTTGTGAGCATACATGATTCATAAAAAGTCCCCTGTAATTCATTTTTCTTAACTTTACTTTTTATTCAGTAGAGGTTTTACGGCACTCGAAACTGAATAAGGTCATATGAGCGCCAAGGGGCGAATGTCAACAGAGAAGTCTTTACAGGGAATCAGGCTTACTCTGCTCACCTCTCTAGCTTCAAAAGCACAAAGTCTTTCAAGGCACCCCGGAAACAGTGTGACAAACATACAAAAGAAGTAGAGGAAAATGACAATATTAAGGATTAGGAAAGTAAAAACAGCAGTTCCCTGTTGTAGATCAGGCACAGTTATGAGCGTGACATTGATGAATCAGCCCATTTACAATTCTACTGTGCATGAACGAGAAATGTCCCCCCTTTGGGAATGGCCTAAAGACTTTCTTAACTTCAGTAACAGACCCTTCCAACTCATCTACAGTAAAACTTTGATACCCCAAACTTCACAGGACCTGAGATTTCTTTGCGATAAGCAGATTCTGTCTTCATGGAAGTTGCAATGCACATTATAATATAAAGACAGACCAAAAAACAACAACCACCAAGGATTAGAAATCCCTTCATGGTAACAGGATTTCATGTTAATTCAAACAGCTTTGTATTGAGCAAAGCCAACAGAATTTGTAAAGACAAAAAATCTTATGAACTTTTCTTACTTTGCTTGGCTTATCTCCCTGGTCAAAGACTTTGTCCAAGAGTCTCACTCCGGTCTCTTGTCTCAGCTGCTGGAGGTACTGCCGCATGGTGTCTGAACACAAACAAAACAAAGCTTTTCGTTTTAGTAAGAGTTTTACAGCACTTGCAACACAATAAGGTCATATATAAGTGCTGAAGATTTGAGGGGGCGCAAGAGAGTGACAAACACAAAAAAAGGAGGAGAGATCAAGGATCAGGACGATAGATGATTTTAGTTTTTTTTAGTAAAGTTCTACTGCGCTCGCAGCTTCATAAGGTCACATCATTACGAGCGTCAAGGGAAGGATGTCAACAGAGGCTTACTTTGCTCACCCCTCTAGCCTCAACAGCACAAAGTCTGCTTCAACTATCAAGGCACCTGGGAAATAGCAGAACACAAGAGAGTGGCAAAAATACAAAAGATTTGAGGGAAAATGACGATAGTAAGGATGAGGAAAGAAAAGGCAGCAGTTTCTCTTGGCAGCGCAATGCCTCCCTCAAGTAACCACATGTCCTTGTCATCCTGTCAACGCCAGAGTAGAGCAGACTTTGTAAGTCTGTAGGTGTTTGTAGGAGCCTGCGTCGAAGAACTGCCAGGTTTGGACACTGAAGGAGAAGATGTTCAACGGTCTCCTCATGGTAGTCACAGTGTCTGCAATGGGGTTCCCACATGGGGTTGATTCTGTTTATGTGCTTGTTGGTGTGTAAGTGCCCTCTGCGGGCTCTGAGGATCAATGTCTCATCGGCTCTACATAAGAGATTCGAAGGGTCTTTGGGGTTGGGTTTGTCCATGTACCCGAAGAGAAATCTTCCTGTTTCAGTGGCAAGACATTGATAAATCAGCCCATTTATAATTCTATTGTGTATAACAACATGTTAATATCGACCATTTGGGAATGGCCTAAAGACATGATAGATGTTTGATAGGAAAGAAGGAGCAAACCACATCAGAGCACCCGCTAAAATAAATCATTAAAAACACAAACTGCTGCAGGACAAGGACATCCAACCCCAACCAAAAAGAATATAAATTAATATAACTAAAATTTAAAAAACAAAACAGAATCCTACTATTTTTAGACAAAGTAAAAATATGCAAACTGTAATGGGGTAATACACAGATTATTCCTCTACAAAGACATAAATTTAAAACAGCACATCAAAAATTCATCCCAAAAAATTATAGTAATAAAAAAAGAAGAAAGGCGCAAACTATTGGAGAGTAGTATATTTTAGTTTAACATTACAGGAGAATTTGAATCCAATAACAAATAGCCATTAAAAAAAGGTGAATCACTAAACATTCAAAATATGAACAGGCCACAAGGCTGTCACCATGGGAGGAAAACTGAAATTTTTTCCCCTCCGCCCCGAAGCATGCTTATTTTGCAGTACTTTTCTGATACGGGGAAATAAAAAACACTCACAAGCTTCATTAAAATAATCAATTACCACTTAAAATTTGTCGGATTATGATGCACACGCTCGTAATGCAAGAGTCAAGAGAATAAAAAATTACCTTTTTGAAACACAAATTCCAACTTTTTGAATGCTTCAAACTTTAAAATCTACATCCACGACCAAGATGTATTTGCCTCCCTCTGCCTCGTGAGAAACATCAAAAACACCTTACTGACTACAGTAAGTGGGCAGTTTTCTTATAGCCATGGAAAAGTCATCCTTTTAACTACTGTAAGCTTAAAAATTTCTGCCATTCAATAAAATGACCAATCTAAAATGTTGAATCTGTATCCTTAGACTAAATTTACAAGTTTTTATTTATAAAAATAAAATCTTGTACTACATGTATTTAACACAGCATAGGCAATGCTGCGGTAAAATTAAAATTGTCAGGTCCTTTGAAGAATGGGGAGTAGAGACCAGAAAATATCTTCAAAAGAACAGGAAAATCTTGACACCTCCACCCCCTCCCCCCTACTTGGAACAGAACCGTGAGGTTCCACACTTAGTTTAAGTCTGCCTTCAGCTACGCCACAATAGGCCAGCATCCATCATATGACCTGAAAAAAGGTACGAAACGTTCCACCACTTACCCTCGTCCCCTCTGTTGCCTGGCTTGGTGTACATGGCGTTGAGTGGGAAGCCCGACTCTCCAGGGATGGGGAAGTTGGAGATGCCCAGTGTGTACATTTCTTTGTCGCCCTGAGCACGGGAAGAGCACTATGGGGGAGAGGACTGTTTAGTTATAGTACAGTTTTACAGTGCTCGCAGCTACATAAGGACATATGAGTGCCTCGGGGTGGATGTCAACAAAGAAGTCCAAATGGGGAATCAGGCTTACTCTGCTCACCTCTCTAGCCTCAACAGCACAAGGTCTGCTTTAATTATCATTAATCAAGGCACCCCGGAAATAACACTTCACAAGAGAGTGACAAACATACAAAAGAAGTAGAAGAAAAATGACGATAATAAGGATGAGAAAAGAAAAAGCTGCAGTTCTACCTATGTTGTTCCTGCACAGTATGAGCATGACATTGATAAATCAGCCCATTTACAATAATTCTACTGTGCATGATAAGAACAGGTTGTTAATATTCCTCCTCCTTTTGGGAAGGAGAGGACAGGGGAAATGTTGATTAAATCAGTATTCATGGGAAATGGTCAGTCTGTGAGAATATTACAAAGGACATCATTTATGAAGAGCTTTTTTACATATCAAAGGCGTTGGACGCAAACGGGATGGGACAAGTCCGACGTTTCCATATTTTTGAAAAAAAACAACTGTGTTTCCTTCATTATATCTTCCCCAAGGTGTGCTTACATCTATCCTTAATAAACACTTTATACCCCTAAAAAAACATATGTAAAACCTGGTGACCCAAAATTTTTTCAAATATTATATTAACACAGTTTTTTTGCTTCTCCTGAGAAACAAGTTTGCGTGGACTTCGCTGGATTGTGCGCAACAACATTGATATATGATTTGCTTTTCTTTTTAACATAACATGAGAAGCACATCATCATAATAACAGTAATTTAGAGCAGAGAAAAAGTAAGGCAGTAAGACAAAGACAAACGAGGAAATGCACACTCCAACTATTTGCATTATATTGATAGTGTTATAATGCTTACCAAATGTAACAGGTCAATTGTTGGCTCAAGCGAGAAGCAAAAGTTCTGACTAAAATTAGAAAAATAAATTACCTCATATACATATATCATACATTAACCTGCAGAGAGAAACAGGGCTACTGACTCACCCTTTGTAGCTTCTTGAGGCACTCGCTGATGTACAAGGTAATGTAGATCAACGTTCTGTCAGCTTCACTCTGTCAACACATGAACAAAAAGTGAAGTATGAAACCTTAATTACTGTGTCAAGTAATAATCATGTAGGTTACCACTTGGCCAAAGTTGGGGGGAGAGGGAGGGGGAGGTAGAAGAAAAAAGAGAGAGAGACACACACACAGAAGGAAAGAAAGAGAAAGAAGGTGGGACTGAGAGACAAAAAAAATTGAGAGTAGACAGAGAGAAATAGAGAGTTTGAGAAGAGACAGAAAATTGAAAGGGGGAACCTTAGAGCTGAATGGACAGAGCTCCTGAAGAAGACAACACTGAAAAAGATCACGTGGATCTTCGCCGCCGGCCATGCTGGAGTCAAGGGCCATGAGCGGGCTGATGAGCTCGCTGGGAAAGCAAAACCAGAAGGGAAGCTGTGCCCTGACAAAACCTGAAATTGTACGTTCAGTCAGGGAAAAACGAGAAAAAGAACAAGAAGAGAAGGAAAACCATCATCTTGAGCGACTTCGTGAGCTTGAAATTGGATGGGGCGCTGGCAGAAGTTCAAGACTTAGTGGAATCACTTGGGAGCAGCAGAAAGCTATGGAATCAACCATTGCTAGGAACCGTCAGCATCTACACACTTCGAGATGTGCTTCTTCAGGGGACGGAGTGCTTTTTATGGGAATGCCCCTTGTGCAGTGATGTCGGTCCTTCACACAAGTAAACAGAAGCAAGAGACAGAAAGACACACACACACACAGAAAAATACAAGACAGACAAAATGGCAAGGGAATGTGCTGCTTTATATATAATCACTGGAGATTGAGGGTTATTTTTCAACCAGTTAACACCCATCCAGAGTGGATTGCACTTCCATTCCCCTTTCTTTTACCGGTGTATAATCCCTTCATATCAGCACATGAAGTTATGACTTCCCCTTACTTTGTTGTTAAAAGGTAAGTTGCCCCCCCCCCCCTTACCCCAAGCCACCTCCTTTAAATTGCTTGACCTTGATCTTGTGATGCAGTGCACAAGATCTGGGGTCCCTGTGGAGGTCGCACTGGGGATGCAGTTATGATTTACAGGAACAGGAAACAGCAGGCATTGATCATCAATGTTTGCTAAGACGTGGGAGGCCAACCTTTAAATTTACAGCTCTATACGTTTTGGAGTAACCTGACAACCAATCCTGTAGATTCTTGGACAAACATAAGAAATGGACACCAATACTTTTCTGTGAAAAAGACTAGAGTAGAGATCAAAACATACCTTGATTTCATAGTTTCTGAAGAAAATGTTGGCCTTGAAAAAGTAAATTGCCTCGTCGATGATATCATAGTTGGAGGCTGCAAAGTAAATTAAAATAAAGTTTGCAAGTATAGAGTATTATAATAGATTAAAACATCTTAAAAACAATTTTCAAAGTGCACAGTAAACCCACAAAACAGCTATACATTTTGATTAAGCAAACTCATCATAACCTTAGTTGAACAAATGTCAATGTATCATAAACTTTGGAAAGTCACCTCGAGATTCCCAGCAGGCAAAAAGATTGTGTATGTGTATTAATGAAATCATGTAAGTTACAACTTTATTTTGCTGGAACAATTCATGTTAATTAATGTATAACTTCATCGTAAAAAAAATAAAAGGACTTTATGTAACAGAACAGTTTTGTTCAGCTGAAGCACCAACTTACCAGAAAACAGAATAATATTTTTACCATGCGAAATTTTACTTGAAAAATAGGTATGAAAAAGGTGATGACAACCCCC